GAGACAGTGCCCAGGCCCTGGCAGTGTTAGAACGTTTGTGGCCCCTTCAGCGGGTAGATTTGAAAAACACCCTTCCAGACCTGTTCTGAGCCACCGGAGACTCAGTGTTCCCTTTGACCCCCTTCCCACAACCTCCTCTCCCTAAGGTGATAGGGTGGTTTGCGAATGGAAGTTTTTAGGCTTGGGATCGGCCAAGCCCTTGGCAGCCTAATACAGGCGGAGCGTTGCTGCCACCTCGTGGTTAAAGTAGGAATAGACAGGCGTCTGCTTAGGAGTGGGCAGACAGCGCCAACTGGTGACCAGGACCGCTCCCCGCGCCCTCGACACCACATTGGCCCCTGACCAGTTTTTGGCAGAATCCCAGTTCCAGTTCTTGAGATGGTCCAGCTCTGGTCCAACTTCCATGTGCCTCAGTCTCCTTACTTGTAGAATAGAGCAAGGCAAGCATGGATGGGAGAGGCAGATTAGGCAATGCCCCTGTATGCCATGATCTCTAAGTGTCCCCACTCAGCCTGGCACACCAGGCAACAGGCCAGGGGACCTTAAGCCCCCCACACTGGGGAACTCTCACTTTTTTTTGTTTTGTGTCAGTCCTGGGATTTGAACTCAGTGCCTGAGCTGTTTTTTATTTGTTTAACTGTTACCTGAGCTATTTTGCTCAAGGCCAGAGTTCTACCCCTTGAGCCACAGCCCCATTTCCAGCTTTTCAGTGATTGATTGGAGATAAGAGTCTCACAGACTTACCTGTCTGGGCAGGATCTGAACTGTGATCGCCAGATCTCAGCCTCCTGAATAGCTAGGATGACAGGCATGAGTCATCAGTGCCCACTAGGACTCTTTAATTATTACCTCCTTCCCCTGCGGTAAGCCTTAAGACCTTCCCTGTGTCCAGCTCTGAGATACCACCCCCCCACCCCACCCCTGACATTTTAGCAAGCAGAAGACTGAGGGATGGGTCCCATCATTGATCTTAGTCTCCCCAGGAAGGTTAAGGGCAGATGAGGGATAGTGAAGGAGTTGTTTTCAAGTCTCCCGACCATGAGCTTTCAGCTGGCTCACCCCTGAAAATAAAACTGGCAAAATGAAGCCTGTCATCCTAGCTCAGGAGGCTGAGATCTGAGGATCATGGTTCAAAGCTAGCATGGGCAGGAAAGTCTGTGAGACTCTTCAAATCACCAAATCGAAATACACACACACACACATCTGAAGTGGAGCTCTGGCTTGAGTAATAGAGTGCTAACCTTGAGGGGAAAAAAAAAAAGCTCAGGGACAACACCCAGGCCCTGAGTTCAAGTCCCAGGACTGGCACGAAACAAAAACAAAACAACTCTCAAAAACCAACCTGGCAAAATGGACCCAGCTTGAAAGCAGACAAGGTGCTGAAGGACCTTCCCTGTCTGACAGCCCGACTATCTGGGATCCCTTCCACCCTGTGGGGGCCGCCACGCCACTGTTGGAGACCACAAAGAAGGGAGGCTTGTCCTGTCTGGCTAGAGCTGGTTGACTCACACCTTTGAATATCATCTTGGCTCTGGAGGCCCCAGGAGGGATTCTCAGCCTTGGGAATCTCTAAGGTCCTCCCCATTCGGGGAGCCGTGTGTACCCACAACCTCTCACCCATACCTTTGGGAAAGATTGCACATGCGTAGGTGTGCGCTGGCCCCCAATGCGCGCATGCGCACACCCACGCGCACACGCCGCGTCACGCATGCGCGCACACACACCCTTCCCCTGTGGGCGGACTCCTGCCTTTCCTGAGCCTTGGGGGTTTGGGGGCCGTGACTGGGGCCAGGCCGGCCGATCCCAGGTGGGGCCTCGGGGCTGGGCTTCGGGCCTTCAGGTGGTGATTTCGGTCAGTGCCTGGGTCACTACCATCTGGAAGGAAACCGCTGGCGGAGGCTGTGCTGCGGGGATCCGGGTCCTTGAGAGCCAGGAGCTTGCAGCCCGGCCCCCCACACCCCTCTGCGAGCACTTGCGCCTTATGGGGGTGGCCCGGGACACTGCTGATGGTTTTTGGGGCCCCCCCCCGCAGGCTGCTCCGCCCCCCCCCGTGCCCCCCGGCTGAGCCGATGACGTGGGACAGGTCCCCTCGGGCGCAGCCACGGCGGGGACAGTGTGCTGTGTGTGTGTTTCTTTCCTTTGGCTTTTCTGCATCAGGGATTCTGCGTCGTTCATCCCCCGCCCGAGGCTAGGGGCGGCTCGCGGCCGGGTCCAGCCTTCCTAGCGTTGCCAAGGCCTGGGGACGCCCGCTTCCCTGCTTTCTGGGGGTTCCCTGAGCCCCTGGGGTCCTGACCGCAGCCTCTTCTCCTCCCAGATGCACGCCGGGGCCCCCAGGACGCTTGGTTCCAACGGCAGAAGGTTCCAGAGGCCACAGCCGAGACAGAAAGGGATGTGGAGCGTTCAGGCCTGCGGGAGGCCGGCTGGATTCCAGCAGCGCCTCCGCCCCAGGCTCCAGCGACGGCTCCTGGACGTCCAGACGCAACTCCTAGGCCGGTGGGAAGCGGCTAAAAGCAGCCTGGCCAGTGGCTCCGGCCTATAATCCTACTACTACTCAGGAGGCTGAGGATCATGGTTCGAAGCCAACCCCGGCAGGAAAGTCCCCGTGAGACTCTTATCTCCAATAAACCACTCAAAAACTGGAAGTGGCGTTGTGGCTCAAGTGGTAGAGAGCTCGCGTTGAGCACGAAGCGGCTCAGGGACAGCGCCCAGGCCCAGAGTTCAAGCCCCTAAAGTTGCAAAAAAATTAAAACAACAATAACAACAAACCAAGCTAAGGGCTGGGAAGGTGGCTCAGTGGTAGAGCGCTTGCCTCACATGCATGAGGCCCTGCATTCGATTCCTCAGCACCACATAAACAGAAAAAACCAGAAGTGGTGCTGTGGCTCAAGTGGTAGAGCACTAGCCTTGAGCTGACGAGCTGAGGGACAGCGCCCAGGCCCAGAGTTCAGGCCCCACGACTGACAAGACAAACAAGCTAAAAGCAATCTCCTGGCATGGCTGGAGTGGAGACCCACACACCAACTCAGAAGAAAAGATAGGGTCCCTGGGCAGGACCTACCTCCTCTGCCTCCCTGCCCCCCAACCCAGGGCTCTTCTTACAAATAAAAGTCAACAGTCACATTCAACACTGTAAATAAATCCCAATAGACAGCTACCCTGAGACATTCTCAGAGTCACCCTGGCTTTTGACAAATTCCAGATTTTTTTTTTTTTGGTACCAATACAAGGGCTTGAACGCAGGGCTCTAGCACTAGATTTTTCTCAAGGCAAACACTCTACCACTTGAGCCACAGCTCCACTTCTGGCTTTGGGGGGGGGGGGGGGGGAGGGGCTAATTGGAGATAAGAGTCGCCAGTATTTTCCTGCCTGGGTTGGCTTTGAACGAGGATCCTCAGAGCTCAGCCTCCTGAAGAGCTGGGAGGATAGGTGCGAGCCATCAGTGCCTGGTTCCAAAACCATTTTTGATTCAAAACTTTGCTTTTTGCCTCTTCTTCTCCCACAGCTGCTTTATACTGGGGGTCCAGGAAGACCTGAGGTCAAGTGAATGGGGGGGCCAAAGGTCATGACCAGGGAGGGTCTGCAGATGATAGTAAAAAATGTGCTCAAAGCCGGGCACCAGTGGCTCCTGCCCTGTCATCCTAGCTACTCAGGAGGCTGGGATCTGAAGATGTTGGTTCAAAGCCACCTCAGGCAGAAAAGTCTGCAAGACTCTTATCTTCAACAAACTACTGAAAAAGCCTGAAGTGGAGCTGTGGCTCAAGTGGTAGGGTGCTAACCTTGAGTGAAAGAAGCTCATGAATAGTACCCAGGCCCTCAGTTTAAGTCTCCAAGACCAGCACACACACACACACACACACACACACACACACACACACACACACACAGTGCTTAACCTGTGGACCCCAACTTATTTGACAGTTTGCAGAGAGCTTGCTGAGTACTCCCCCTCCCCCAAAGGGCCCACTGCAAGGAAGGATGGACCTCTGTGGGTCTCTGTGGGGACAATTCTGTGTCTTCGCGTGCCACTCCTGTCTTGGGCTTCCCTGTGAGCAGGTGCCTGGCTCAGACAATCCTGGGAAAGGCGGAAGAAATGGCAGGAATCACTGAGTTCTCCCAGCAGCACCGAGTATAGACATCCCTTGCTCTGAAATCCATGTGCTTTATTCCCAGCCTCCCCCAGGTCATAGAAAAGCAGCAAACCTCGGGGTTCGATAGAAGGCAATGGCTAAGGAATGACACGACATTCCTGACCGCGGGGGCTCTCTCCTTGGGGCCTCAAACTTCCCTGGTCGTCATAGCTGAGCTCCCGCTGTGGGGGAAAGGGCATCCATCCCAGCCCTCAGCATCTCCCTCAGCCAAGGGAGTCTGTGACAAGGGACAGAGCCTCTGTCCCCCATCTGCACCCTTACAGCCCGGTTGCTTTGAGAATACCTCAGTTCTGGGATGAGCTACATTGAAGAAAGTAAGACCTGGTGAGTGGGCGTGGCCCTCGACAGATAACCACGCCCCTGGCAACAGGCCCTGCCTTTGGCACTTGGCTCCGCCCCTAGCAGATAGCCTTGTCCATGGCAACAGGTCCCACCCCTGTCAACTGGTCTTGCCCTAGCAGCTGTTATTTCCTGGCAACAGGGCCATCTCCTAGCAACCGACTACTCCCACCTCGGCTAACCACGCCCACTCCTGGCAACAGCCCCTCCCGTCAGCTGGCTCCACCACCAACCAACAGTTCTGCCTCCTGGCAGCTGGCCCCGCCTCCGGCAGCTAGCCACACCCCTGACAACCTGGGCCTAGCCCAACAGCGAAATCCTCTCTTGGTCATAAGCCCCACCCCAGAAGTTAACCACGCCCCTGACAACCTGGTGCATCCACAGCAGCTCGCCTGAACCTGGCAATAGGCCCCGCCCCCACACCACTGGCCACGCCCCTGCATAGAACCACGCCCCCTGCAGATAGCCACGCCCCCGACAACGTGGCTCTGCCCTGACATCTAAGTCCTCTCCTGGCAGCAGGCCCCGCCCCTGTAGCAGGCCCCGCCTCCGGGCAGCAGGCCCCGCCCCTCAGTACAGGTCCGCGAAGGGCTTGGAGTAGTTAAACATCAGGTAGTCCATGTAGTAGAAGTCGTAGGTGCGCTGGCGCTGCAGGGCGGACAGCTGGGCAAAGTACCGGTGGGTGATCCTCGCCGTGGTCCGCGCCTCCTGCGCGTGCCGGTCCTTGAAGCGGGGAAAGGTGAGGTTCCGCGGGGCGTGGATGAGACTCAGGAAGAAGTTGGCGTCGTCCTCCATGCTCTCGAACTTGCCCACGAAGTCGTAGTCGATGAGGCAGGGGCTGCAGAGGCGGCTGACGTGGTCCCAGTGGATGTCCAGGCCCACGGGCCGGTGCACGTCGAGGAGATACTGGATGAACTCGGGGAACCGCACGCCGGAGCCGGTCCGCAGGGCCTCCCTGGAGGCGTTGGCCCGGTACCGAGCCACGATGGCCTTGCCGAAGACGGGGTGGTAGTAGCTGTTGGGGTGTTCGAACTTGTCGCGGAAGGCCGAGACCAGCCTCTCGAAGGGCTCGCGGACGAACAGCATCTTGGTGTAGGTGCTGAGGCGGTACAGGATGCCCTGGCGGTCGAAGGTGTCCAGGCGCCTGAGGGCGCTGCCGTAGTGCACCGTGTTGTGGTGCAGGTCGGCGGTGGACGAGGCCAGGCCGGCCAGCACCATCAGCACCCGCTTCCAGTTGGAGCAGCCTGCCTTGGGCACCTCGCAGTACAGCACGCGGTGCCGGTCCTCCACGAAGATGCGGGACACGTGGCGGGGCGTCACGGACCTGCGGCTGCTGCTCGCCCGGTACTTGGCGCAGGCCTCCCGCATCAGCCGCTTGCGGTCCTGCTGGCTGCGGTGCAGGGCCACCCAGTGGCTGTCCGCAGCGCGGGGACCCGGCCCCGCCGAGGTCTCCGAGGAGCGGTTGCTGGCCCTCCCGGCCAGGCCCGCGGGCATTTTTTTGATGAGCAGCCGGCGCCGGCGCTGGCGGGGTCGCAGGGGGGCCCCAGGGTGGGGGTGTGGTGGAGGCTGATCGGGCATCTGTAAGCAGCGGTCCCCCGGGGACCGGCTGGACGTGTCCTGGGGGACCCTGTCGGTGTGTACGTTCAAGTCACCATCCTGGGAACTGCCGGGTGGCTGGAGATTCTGGAACAAGAAGGGGAAATGGTTAACTAGGAAGGAGTCTTTCCTTCCTTCCTTCCTTCCTTCTTTCCTTCCTTCCTTGTTTTGTTTCTTTTGCGTCAGTTGTGGGACTTGAACTCAGGGCCTGGGCTCTGTCCTTGAGCTCCTTTTGCTCAAAGCTAGTGCTCTGCCACTTTGAGCCACAGATCTACTTCCAGTTTTCTGGTGGTTCACAGGAGATGAGAGTCTCACAGACTTTCCTGCCCCGGCTGGCTTTGAACCATGATCCTCAGATCTCAGCCTCCTGAGTAGCTAGGATTACAGATGTGAGCCACTGGTGCCCAGCTTGCGGGTGATATTTTTATGTAATTGAAGGGAGAAGGGGCTTGATTCTGCAAGGTGTGTTCCCTCTGGTCTGTTACACCTGAAATGCAATTCACAACTTCTACCACAAGATGGCGCTGCCTTTCTTCCTAGGAAACCCCGCCTCGCTTGGATGAGCGGTAGATGCTATTGGCCTTGAAAGGCTGGCTCAGATTTACTCCATCTATTAGCAACAGTCCAAAGGAGCCATCTAATAGGAAGGAGAAATTCATGGATCTAAAGCCCTGGGTGTTGTTCCCAAGGCTCCTGGGAAGGACTTGGTTCCATTTTTCTTTCCAAGAATAGATTCCCTGGGAGCTCCACATTGTCTTCCTGCCTTTCTCCAACTCCTCCTCCCCCTCCCTCTACTTCTCCCAGGCTGTGTGTGGTAGGATTTATCTGAATCTGGAAACTTACACTGTGAAGCTGTAGTGGCCGGATGTGGAGTTTTAGTCCTGAAAAGCAAAGAGAGAACTTTAGTCACAGAAATACCACATGGCCCCTATGGACCTGCTAACCCCAGGGTGCTCAGATTAGAGGGAGCATGGAAGACAGGTTGTGGGGAGGGGAGGAAGGGCTTGGTTTAATGCTTAGAGCCACTCCATCCCCTACCTACATGGAAGATGTGGTTTGGCTAGCTTCTGATGCTAGTTTCTCTCATCTGCCTTCCTGCTGTGTAACTTGAAGCCAACCTGGGCAAGAAAGTCTGTGAGACTTTAAAAGAACCACCAAAAAGCCAAAAGTGGGAGTGTGGCTCCAGTGGTAGAACCCCAAGCCTTGGGTGAAAAAGGCCCTCTGTGATTTTCATTCAAGCTCCAGTTTTACAGATTCAGCCAGGGTCTGGACTTGGCTTAGAGGCTGGCTGCTCAGTCTATGGGTGTGATGTCACATCGTTACTCATTAGCAAGTCGTGGTGAGAAGACTAAAGTCATCTCTGGGCTCAAAGGCTACATTCCTCGAGCTTTCTGGAACCTTCTTGAGGTCCCACGAGAGGTAGGAATAAAGGCAGAACTTGGGTACACTGACTCTTCTGCTGATCTTTTCGGGCTGAAAACAGGTGTGAGCCCTTGTTGAGAAAGAGCAGTATGCCTCCTGTCCTGGCCATGCGTGCACGTGTGTGCATGTGCGCGTGAAAAAGATCTTTTGGTCTCTTCCAAAGAGACTGCAGGCAATCCCCACAGGACTTGAGTGAACAGCAGGTGCCTGGCCTTGGATTAAAGCCCCTCGACGTGTCCCCCTCTCCCCCCGAGCCTGTGTCCCTCTTCTCAGTGACACCCCCCATCCTGGGTCTCTCTCTGTTTCCAGAGCTCCTTTCTCTCCAGTGGGTGGGGAGCTCTCTCCCGCAGCCGGTGATGACAGATCTCTTCACTATAAGGGACCCGCCATAGCCACTCTGTTTTCCTCCACGCCACCGGGTTTCCTTAATTATTTTCTTCTCCTGGTGGCAGCTGGCTTTGCTAAATCACCTCTCCATCTCAGAGTCTCAGATGTGGGAATTTATTCCCCTTGTCAACCTGTCAACCTGTCAAGGTGTGATGGCGCTTATTTATACTCCTTTTCTGGAGCAAATGAGTCATACAAGATTTGGCCAAGAGTAGGACTGAGGTGCCGCATTCAGACACCACGCTGCCAGTCTGTGAGGTCAGGTGAGCTAGGTGTCATCAAGGCTATGCCCCGCACCCTCATCCACTTTTATGGATAGGATTGGACAGGAGGGCACTACCTTCTTCTGTACCTTCAGGTTGTGAGCCTAAGGGAGTTCCCATGGTTACCCATGCTGAGCATATGTCCATCAAGGCTATGTCCCACCCCTTCCCCCCCTCCCCCCCCCCCCCAGCCACTTTTGTGGACTGGATTGGACGGGAGGGCATTCGTCTCCAGGCTCTGAGCCTGAGAGAGTTCCCATGGCTACCCAAGCCTAAGTATGTGTCAATCAAGGCTGAGCCCCCACCCCTTGTCCATTTCTCTTGACAGGATTGGACAGGAGGGCACTGTTTTCTTCTCAGTACTTCCAAGTACTGAGCCTGAAGGAGTTCCCAGGGCTACCCGCTCTGAGGCTGGCAGGAAACTTCCTGCTAGACAGAGCCTGGTGCTGGGTGAATCTCCTCATTCCCTGCCCACGTTTTTCCACACCATCCTGGCTGTAATTACCCTCTTAGGAAAAGACAGTGCCTTGTGGACAATAGCCTGTCTCAGAAACCCTTAAACTCCAAAAGCAGCTCATTTCTCTCACATGCAATCCTAGCTACTCAGGAGGCTGAGATCTGAGGATCATGGTTGGAAGTCAGCCTGGACAACCAAATCCATTGAGACTCTTACTTCTAATGAACCAGCAAAAAGCAAAAGGCCAGAGGTGGAAGTATATATAGCTCAAGTGGTAGAGCACCAGCCTTGAATGAAAAAGGGAAGGAACAGTGCCGGGCCCTGAGTTCAAGTACTGTGCCTTGTGAACTCCACCCTGGGTCTCTGCTTGGGCTGAGTTAGACTCATGGTCATTGGGCCTCCTGATTGAGGCGTTTTCTCCTGGTCCCAATACCTTGTATCTATCTGCCATCTGCTCTGTCAAGTCCAACATCCACTAACTTACTCAACAGGTCAGGGGACTCCTCTCCCCCCTCCCCCCGCCCCCTCCCAACTCCCTGGGAAGACAAGTAAACTCAGGCTGGCCTGTGCTGGGGTGGAAGGCCTAGAGGGGAAGCCCTGGTTTGTAACTTGCTTCTCCATGAGTGGACTCTGTCCTGAGTCCCAGCCATGGGTCCCACCCCCCCCTTGACGCTTGGGATTGGCGGACAGTGAGACCTCATGCCATTTTCTCTACAGTTTTTACCGCCCAGTGCCTGTGCTCTGGTCAGCGGCACGAAGTCCCAGGGGCAGACAGTGGGCACACGGTCCACTGGGCTCCAGGAGAAAGCCAAGGGCACTGCCCGGCCTCCACGGAGAACACACAGGATTTCTGAAGGAGGGGGCATGTTGTTTCTTAGGGCTTTGCAGAAAAATAGGAGAGGGAGAGAGGAAAGGGAAGAAGAGAGAGGGAGATGGAGAAGAAGAGAGAGAGAGAGGGAAAGAGTGAGAGAGAGAGGTGGGGAAGGAGGAGAGAGAAAAAGAGAACAGGCGGTGGGGAGAGGGAGGGAAGATGGAAGAGACCTAGGGAGAGATGGAAGAGGGGGAAGGAGGGAGATGGAGGGAGGGAGAGGGGAAAAGGAGGGGGAGAGAAGGAGGAATATATAGAGGGACAGAGGAAGAGAGGGAAGGAGAAAGAAGGAGAGGCAGAAAAGGGGAGAAGAGAGGAAGGAAGGGAAGGAGAGAGGGAGAGAGAAGAGGGGAGAGGAGAGAGACCTCCCAGTGTGGCCTTGGGACCGTTCCTCAACTTCCCTGACTTTGCCCTCTGTCAAATGGCCCGCAGATGTGCAAATGTCAGGAGACACCGGCTGGGCACCAGCTCCAGTCCCCTGGATGGAAGCTTCTAGTCCCCATGTTCCATTCCGATGCCCCCCGCCCCCCCGCAGCCCCTGCAGAGGCTGAGTCTCCCCAAGCCCCAGTTCTGGGTGCTCGCTGTGGGTGACAGGGATACATGGGTGGCTAAGGGAGAGGCCTGGAGGATTTGCCTGTCTAGGGTTGATGGACATGGACGGCTCTGGCGCTCCTGGTTTTGTCTGAATTCCTTCCTTCGCCTGGGTGATTGGGATTTGAGAAGCCTCCGGGTGGGCTGCTGACAGCTCAGCCTTGGCTGAGATCAGATCTCCGAGCTGCCTGTCAGTCACCCAGCCAGCTCGAAGCTGGTCTGCGAACCTGGCTCACCACTTTGGAGGACCGGACTCCTGAGCACGAACCTGTTCCTTGTGCCTTACTCAGTCTCCTGAGTAGCTAGAATTACAGGTGTGAGCCACTGGCACCCGGCTATGATTTTGTGTGAATGTGTGCTGGTTCTGAGGCTTGAACTCAGGCTCTGGGCTTTGTCCTTTACTTTAGTTTTTTTTTTTTTTTTTCTTCTTTCTTTTTTAAGGCTTGTGCTCTACCACTTGAGCCACAGATCCACTTTCCAGCTCTGTACTGGTTCATGGGCGATAAGAGACTCATGGACTTTCTTGTCTGGGCTGGCTTTGAACTGCAGTATTTAGATCTCAGTCCCCTGAGTAAAATAGGATAATAGGTGTAAGCCAATGATGTCATGGAACTTGTTTGTGTGTGCATGCACGTGCGTGTGTGTGTGTGTGTGTGTGTGGCAGGAAAGTCCAAGAAACTCTTACCTCTATTGAACCACCAAAAACCTAGATGAGAGCCGGGCACTGGTGGCTCATGCTTGTCATCCTAGCCACTCAAGAGGCTGAGATCTGAAGATCGAGTTTCAAAGCCAGCCTAGGCAGGAAAGTCTGTGAGACTCTTATCTCCAATAAATCACACACACACACACACACACATACACACACACACACACACAAAGCTCTAAGTGGCGCTGTGGCTCAAGTGGTAGAGTGCTTAGCCTTGAGCAAAAGCAGCTCAGGGACAGTGACCAGGCCCTGAGTTTCAAGCCCCAGGACTGGCACCAAAAAACCCAATAGTAAATCATGCTGGAGCCAGAGGTTGGGTAGGTGGTGTTTCATAGGGGGAGGGGCTGTTTGTGTGCGCCCCCTCCCCCTCCGAAAAAAGAACATCTCCAGACCTAAGCATCTGCCCTTCCCTGGACAGGTGTCAGGCCGTCAGAAGCAGCAGGCTGGGCGGCCTATTATGGTGGTGACCAGGCCGAAAGATAATGATGTGCGGTCCCGGAATGCGCTACTCCAGCCGCAGCGTCAATTACGGAGCTGGCCTGTGGCTGTCAGAGCTGTCATCGCTGTAGCCTGTGATATTTTGAAAAGGCACACGAGTAAATCCGTCTTAGCGGATGATTCTTTTGAAGTGCGTGCCTCCCTGCCCTGCCTCTCCCCTGCAGGCCCTTCTCTCCTGAGGGGAGGGGAGGCACTGCTCCAACCCCCCACCCCTTCCCCAAGGAGAGTAGTGGGGTTCCTCCCAGGCCATGCTGAAAAGCATCTCAGGATGGATGCCCGGATGGTGGTGTGCTGATGGCTAATGCTGTCTCCTGATGGCTGGTGTGTGTGTGTGTATGTGTGTGTGTGTGTGTGTGTGTGTGTGTGCGCTGATGGCTAATGCTGTCTCCTGATGGCTGGTGTGTGTGTGTGTGTGTGTATGTGTGTGTGTGTGTGCTGATGGCTAATGCTGTCTCCTGATGGCTGGTGTGTGTGTGTGTGTGTGTGTGTGTGTGTGTGTGTGTGCTGATGGCTAATGCTGTCTCCTGATGGCTGGTGTGTGTGTGTGTGTGTGTCTTTGAGTCTCAGCCGTAGTCACTCCCCCATGGTCCAGGCTCCAACCCACTGTACCTCCCTGCCACCAGCACTGTCTTCATTACCAGGAGGACATTGAGTGAGGGAAAATTATATTCAGGGGCCCCCTACCTGCC